AAGAAAATCATTAATTGGGAGTACTTCACATTTAATAGACATTTAACATTTATGTCTCTAAGTCTGAACATCAATGGCTAGCTAGCTCAAGGATTCTGCTTGTGAAGTTAATTTTACTTGGACTCAGGCAGACATCCTACATCAGGATGCCACCAAATGCATTCCATTCCTTCCAAAGGGTTAGTAAATGTGAATAGGTCTGTGAGAAGGGATGCTCATGCCCCAATGCTCATGCCCTAACATATATTTGATGAAGTCAGTAATGGAAATCTTATTACTTGTTTTAACATGCTTAGTTAATATTTTCATATATTGACAGCTAATAAAGGCAACAAATCTGAAACAAATAATCTTAATGTCTCTCCAGACATCTTCCTCCTCAACCATTCTATCCAGCTGTCAACATTAGATTTACAACATAATGTGCTCTGGTGGGCATGTGGCAAATACAACTTGGGCAGAGCACAAATTTACAAAAAACAATGAACTATTCCTGATTATTTCAGGAGTCCTGGCTAATCCGCATTTACAGCTGCATTTTCTCTAATGCATTCACCCTGCTGCTTCTTACCAATTTTAGAGGTTGTCAATTAACCCGTCTTCTCCCCACCCCACTACGGAGAATTTGACTGCCTTACACCACTATCCTACATTTCCTCTGCAGCCATTTCAGACTCAGAGATAGAAGTTGTGTGTCAGGAATGGCAAAGCAGCCAAACCAGCTCTGGAGCATTCAGCTTTACTGTAATTTGAGAGAGAAACTTTTCTTATGTTTAAAAAAACCCTGAATTTCCTCCACTTTTTTTCCTAATTTCACTAACAAACATTAATACTAAGCTCTTTAAAAGGGCTGTGCCTAATTCATTTGTATGTCCTTAGTACCTGGTACATAGCAGAAACTCAAGGTTTTCTGAATAAATGTTAACATGTTAGCTATTAGCTAGATTTTTCTGTCATTTGATCTAAATCTCTGCTTAATATCATGAAAACAAAGGAAAACATTTTTAGGCAATTGCTATGTAAATGGGTTAATGATTCCATGAGGAGTCAAAAATATCCTTTATTCTAAAACTGAGCCCATTTAATTTTTTTTTTTTTTAAGAGAAGCAAATAAGCAAAGAATTGTCTGTTGTGGCTTTGTTTTTACTAATCCCTCAGGAATATCATTACTGAGTGAGAAATTTTTTTGAGTGTCAAAAATATTGAGAAACCTCACTGAATGAATTACAAAGTGTCCTGGAAAATCTTATGACACCTTCACCATAAATTCTATGTATATTCCTTTTCATAGAAGTCTGGGTAAGTGGTATTTCTTTAGGTTTCTGTGATGGAAGTCTAATTTCTCAATTTCCGGTTTGTAATCTTACCTTATATATATTTCCTGTTTGCCAGTATTTAATCCTTACATCTGTTCATTATCAAGTCCAAATCAGAAGAGCTCCTCTTAGAGGAGCTATAGGTGAAAATGGATTAGAAGATGTTCTTCAAATCAGTTTTAATAGTCCTATCAGGATCTTGAGTGACTGGAATTTTAGTAACTAGATGCATAATTCTTTCATACCTTTTGCAAAAGTCGTTTAAGAAAAAAAAAAAAATACCGGATAAGTAACAAGTAACATTTCCCCCCCTCTTCTTATGTACTATTTTGACCGGCAATTATTTAGGGCTTTTACAAATATCTCAACTAAAAATATATTGACTCCCACCATTGTTTTAAATACTATAATGTACCAAATATTGACCATTTGTTAGGTAGCAGTTAACTGAACAGTTGATGAGGATATTTACTCAAAATAAAGAGACAAAAGGTAATTTTTTAGGTAAAGAATTATATTTTGTTTTTCAAATCCTAGTGAATGGTCTCAGTCTTAACTCAGAGACTTAATCACTCTTTGTCACCTGATAGCCATTACAGTTGGAAGTTTCATGTTTTATGAACTGCTATTCTACACAGCCAACCCATGGAAAGAATATCAATGTAGAACTGTCAAGTTAGTTCACAATTTCAATGCTGTCAAGGACCTTAGAGTTCGGTTGGTGCAGAGATCAGCCTTGACACTGACATCTTGGGTAGGAAAATCATTTGTTGGGGTGGGAGTGAGGCTGCCCTGTCCATTTTGGGATGTTTGCCAGCATCTCTACCCTGTATCATATAGATGCCAAGTAGCACCTGTGCTCACCACGCCCCTTCTTGCCCAGTGGTGGAAATCAAAAATGTCTCCAGACATTGCCAAATGTCCTCTGGGGTGGGGTTGCAAAAAGACCCCTGGTTGAGAACCACTCAACTGGGGTAATCCAATTCCCCCTCCCCACAGATGACAAATCTCAAAAAGTAAATTTGGGACTTTGTGTTTGAAAGAAAAATTGGGGACTTTTCTCAGGTCATATAGCTAGTGGACAAACTAGCACTAGAACCTACTACTTGTTAGATCCCTATTCCAGCATTCTCATTATACCACCTTGAAATTGCATAGAAAGGTTACTGCTAGCATTGTGTGAACTGACACCGTATAAAGTCCTAAGTAATCACACACATTCAAAGTCATCATACACACAAACAAAATGTTATCTGGCATCTGGCAAACTGTTTTTCTATGAGAGACTGTTTCCAAATCTTCCTGTGATCTGGCTATGAGAGCCAAACTGAAATGTAGTCTCAAAACCTATAAACGGCTCAGGCTTATTTGGTGAGGGGCAGTAAGTTTGGTATGAAAACAAATAAACCCAGATTTTTTTCCTCAGAACGATAACCTAGGCTGACTAAAGACCCTAAATCTAGTCTTCCAAAGGTTGCTTTCATTAAGAGACCTTGAATAGAACATCATTTGGTTGCAATGACTTTCTAATTCCATTTTTAGTGTATGAAATTTTTGTAAGGTGCTTACAAAAATATTTTAAGAAATATATGCACTTTAAAAAAAAAAAAAAAAACTAGTTTGCCAGGGACCCCTGGGTGGTGCAGTGGTTTGGCACCTGCCTTTGGTCCAGGGCACGATCCTGGAGACCCGGGATCAAATCCCACATCGGGCTCCCGGTGCATGGAGCCTGCTTCTCCCTCTGCCTGTGTCTCTGCCTCTCTCTGTCTCTGTGACTATCATAAATAAATAAAAATTTAAAATAAAAAAAAAAACTAGTTTGCCATTCCTCCAAAGTGAAGTATGTAAAAGATTATGGAATAGCACAGAAAAATAGAATATAATCATGAAAGAGGGTAAAAATGAAATTATTTTCAAGAGGTTATTATATTTATTGATGTCTCTCTCCAGAAAAGAGGAACCTAAATTATTCTACAATATTTTAGCTTCCACCATCTTTTGCTCTGGAGACAGAAAGCAACATGAGGCAACACAGCATACTAAAAATTATGAGACTGAAGATGGTTAAATGTTTTACTTGAGATGTGCAATGCGATCAAGCTCCACCACCTAAAATCATTTCCAAAACTGTCTTTACAGCCTTACCTCCTTACAGGCTGTTGATAGGTATATAGGACTTGTAAGAACTCAAACAATGTTTGAGATGATTCAGAAATAACTTTTTGTGTTAAGGGGTAACGTGTTGGTGATAACTGTGAAAACCTTGGACAGAAACCACCTCTTCCAAACCCCTTGCACCGGAGCCTTGCCCCAATTTTAACAGGTCTCCAACAGCTTAAGGCAGAATCCTGGGATGACCCAATCCCCTTTGGAGCTCCTGCTAGAAAAAGCTCAGGGCTGTTGGGTAGCCCGGGTGGCTCAGCGGTTTAGCGCCGCCATCAGCCCAGGACCTGACCCTGGAGACCTGGGATCGAGTCCCACGTCGGGCTCCCTGCATGGAGCCTGCTTCTCCTTCTGCCTGTGTCTCTGCCTCTCTCTCTCTCTCTCTCTCCTCTCCGTGTCTTCTTATGAATAAATAAAATCTTAAAAAAAAATGTACTGTTTTCAGAACCAACATTTGATGACAGGCCCCTCATCTCTATTTTTGAGTGTTTAACTCAAAATGGCTTTGGACTGTGAATCCTTCCGGTCTCTGAGATGATGTGTACCTCCTACAACTCCGAAGAGTCCCTCTCAGACACCGGAAGGCCGGCCGCTCCTTTTGAGGTGTAATCTTCGGGAAGGTTAGGCCTAGGTCTCCCAGTGGTGTGTGTGTGTGTGGGGGGGGCAGAACCCTAACTTCCTTACTTGCCAGCCAAGCACACGCGGCTGGCCCGACACCATCCCCAAGGAACCACCTTTTGTAATTCCTCACCTCCCTGACTCTTCTTGAACCCCACCTCTCCTCCGGGCCCTCATTTTCCCTTTAAAACTCCCAGCCAGCTCCGCGCGAATCCGGACGGAGCTCAGCGCTTTCCCCTGCTGTGGGGAGCTTCAGGGACTTGTTTTTCACCGCGCTCCCTCACGTCCGCTTTGCTATCGTTGACACTGGCAGATCCGTACTGAGCTCAGACCGCTATCAAGAGAGGCCTAAAAAATCTGAGAGCCTTGTTTTACAGGGTGCTACCCTCAAAAAGCCTAGGAAGACTCTCCCACGGGGCGCCTCAGAACCCTCTGCGCGCCTCTCTCCGCGCGGGCGCCCCCCCGCAGGGTTGGGCGCCCCGACTACTCCCCAGGCTCGGCGAGGTCCTAACTCCACTCCTGCCTGAACACCTGCTTTCCCGGAGGTGGAGGTGCACTCAGCCGAGGTTTCCTCGCCCGCACGTCTGCGGCCCTTCCTCGCCTCATCTCGGAGTTTCCTCACCAGTCCCGCTTCCCCGTCCCTGACACTCCAGGGCCGCACTTCCACCTCTCTGCCCGCTCCGGCCTCAGCGTCCCACTCCCCTCCACGCTCCACGCTCCACGCTCCACCTGGGAGCCGTGGCGCCACGTTCCGGCGGGTCCGCGGGGCTGAGGGAGGCGAGTGGACGCCCGCCCGGACCCCGTCGGCCATGGCGCACACTCGGGGCGCGCCCAGCCGTCACCGGGCCGCGGAGTTGAGGGGCTGAAGCCCGGGCCGCCCCCGCCGCCGGGGCGGGAACTCACCTTCTCTGAGGCAGGGGCGGGCGTCTACAACTACTGTTCCCCCTCCCCGCTAACGCCGCCGGCCGGGGGACAGGCCGGGGTGGAGATGGCGGAGAGGTAGGGACAGCAGCTGCCGCCACCGCCGCCTCCGCCGCCGAGCAGGCGGAGTGAGAGGAGGAGGCGGAGACCGGGCTTCCTGAGGGGAAGTCTCCGCCACCACCCGCGGCTGACTGGACGGCGCCGGCGCCATAGCGGGAAGGCGCGCGATTGCGCTTGCGCGGGCCGCCCCGCTTCCAGAGAGGCCATGTGGCCCCGCCCCCTTCGGGCCCCGCCCCTTCGGGCCCCGCCCCTTCTGGCCCCGCCCCCTTCGCTCCTCCTCCTGCGGGGCTCCGCTCTAACCGTGGCTCGCGCCCCTCGGTTCCCGCTTTCTTCGGCGGGGGCGGGGCGCTGTCTCCTCGTGGTTCGAGGGAAGGGAGAGCGCGTGTGGCCGCTTGCATGGGGTTAGTGAATATAAAAACCGACTGGGAAAAAGTCTGGAAGCCTCTGGATTCTTCCTCCAAAGTGTCCGAGAAATACATCATCTTTATCTGTCGTTCCTTTGTTAGGGTCTTTAACGTGCAGGGTTAGGGTGAGCAAAAGCCTTGGTCGTGATACGTTGTGGTCATTGGTCCGTAAATGACTTTTGTCTCCCCTCCTTCGCACCTCATCTCATTCCCCATCTCCCAAAGAAACCACGACCCTGGTTTGTAGTCCTCATTTCCTTTCATATATGTGTCTTTATCACACACACGTGTGGCTAAAGAAAGTTTATTTTGAATTTCAAAAGATTGATAGCTTCCTCTATGCAGTCTCCTGGAACTCGTTTCTCTCAACATTTGGAGGATCAGCCAAGCTGTTGCATATAGGTGTTATTTATTTGTTTCACTGCTGTCCAATATTCCACCCATTTTCCTGTTGGTGGGCACGTCTCCTAGTACATGGGGCGAAAGTTTCTCTTGAGTAGACTCTCCTGTCACACTGCCCTCGCCGAGTTTCAGGTGATCATCATCTCTTGTTAGAACCATGGCAAAAGATGCCTAACTTACCCTTCTGACTTCACCAGTCCCATCTGCTCTTCATACTATTGCCAAAGCCTAACACCTAACAAAGTCATTTCTCTTTTCCATTGTCTATTGGAGAAAGTCAAACAGCGCTACTAGGCTTCTGGGCACCTTGATCTCATTATCTTCCTACTGCTGTCACCTCCCCACCTTGCTTTCACTTTATGATTTAGCAACATTAAACCTTTACTGATTCCTATAAACACCAAACTGTTGCATATGCTACTTCCTCTTCTGAATGTTTTCTCTCTACTTCTAATGACCTCCTCCTCCCTCCAGAAGTAAATTGTATCCTGAATTCAGCATTTCTCTTTCCTATTCGTTTCTTAAGACTTTTGTTACATATGTATGTATCCCTAAATAACATGAAATCTTGCTTTGCATGATGTAAAACTTTATGTAAATGTTATTATACATATGTTTATTCACCTGCAGCTTACTTTTTTCAGTTATCATTATGTTTTGATATCTAAGGTATGCTGAGGTGTGAGGATCTAATTCATTCACCTTCACAGCTCTATAACATTTCATTGCATGACTACACCACAAGCTGGCCATTCTCCTATTGATAGACGTCAAGTTTGCTTCCAGTTTTTGCTTTTATAGATAGTACCGCTCTCATGCTCTTATGTAGTCATTCCATGCACATGTGAGAGTTTCTCTGGGGTTTATACTTAGGAGATGCTGCTGTTTTTTAGCTAGGGGCCTAGGTAATACCCACTTCGAAAGTTATTATGAAAAACGAGGTAATGTTAATAAAGCACAATTCAGACATTCAATCATTTATAGTTTAAAAAACTTTCAAATGTATATGAAACACTGGGACAAAGGCTATAGTCTGGTGCTCAAATGACAAACAGAGATATAATATGTGTGCTTCTGAAGCTCCTACAATACCCAACCTATTGTCATCTGTACATAGGGCTATTTCTTTACCTCCACATCTCTGCTTGTGCTGCTATGTCCATGGGACTGAAATGGTCACCTGCAGCTCTGCTTCTCTTTCTGCCTTCTGTTAGCTACTCTCTGAAACCTTCCCTGGCTTCTCAGGCTGCCCTGGATATCCCTTCCCTTTTGCTTCCTATATCTTCTCACCATCTTTGCTTGCTCTTCCATAATTGTCTCTGGTCAGTCTCTTAAACACAGGGCCCACATTTTATTTATCTTTGTTTTGGGGCACTGAGCACAGTGCCTGATACATATGCCGATAAATACATGTGGAATGAGCAAATTTAGGAATTCTTGGGAAGAAAGCAGTTTGTAGCCAGGGATTTCTAGGAGCCAAAGAAAAGCGATGGAAGCAAGCATGCTATTTTATTAAGAACACAGAGGCTAGAGAGTTTAAAGTTTTGCCAATGAGGTAGTTATACAAGATATAAGGGACTATTATGGAGGAAACCTGTCCCTGTCTGGAATGTGAGTGGTAGATGTGCACAAGAACTTTTTCTTTGATTCTGTAATTCATAGTGATTATGAAACAAATTAATGAATCAGCCAGTGAATTCACCTGAATGCAGTGAGCAGTGCCTGGCTTATTTAATGTTGCTAGGCATTAAGTTATTATTAGTTTAAAGCAGGCATTGGCAAACAGTGTCTGTAAAAGGCCAGATAGTAAATATTTTCAGCATTGTGGGCCATATGGTCTTTGTTGCAAGTATTCAACTCTGCTGTTATAGTGTGAAAGCAACCATAGAAAATATGCAAACAGACGAGAATAGCTTTTTTTTTTTTTTTTTTTTTTTTTTTTAAGTAGGCTCTACTCTCCATGTGGAGCTTGAACTCACTTCCCCGAGATCAAGAGTCCCATTCTCCACCCACTGATCCAGCCAGGTGCCCCCTCGTATGGCTCTTATTTAATAAAATTTGTAGTCACTGAAATGTAACTTTCACATAATTTTCATGTGTCACAACATATTCTTCTTTTGACATTTCCCCCCCAACTATTAAAGAAGGTACAAACCATACTTCGTTCAAGGTCTCAAAGAAAACTTGTTGACCCCTGGAGGAAATGAACCTTAGCACCGGTACAAAGGAGGTAGAATCCAGTGGTCAGGGGCTGTTCTTTTACTGAATAAATCTTGAAGTTCTCTTGATTAGCCACTAGATGGTAGACCCTTGTAGGTGTGTGGCCCAGTAAGGGAGTCTGCGATAGAAGGGGTGATGATTGGAGTTTTCCTGTACAGTATGGTAGATGAGCCACTGCCATGCATGTTTGCAGGCATGCAAACTGTCCCAGTGTTTCAAAACCATTCGTCTGGGTTTCATTTATGTCTCCACCTTCACACTTATTTGTACATATTCTTTCTATTGCAGCATATCCAACTGAAGGAAACACAACCACTCTCAAGGCCTCTGAGATTATTTGCTCAGAGGCTCAGGAGAGATACACTGTGAATACAGGCTATGGCTAAAGATTTGGGGGCTGCAACTTGGGATAGGGGAGCAGCTCCTACCCAAGATGCGGGTTAATAAAATGGAGCTCATATTAAGAGGATACTTGAAGCCCAAGTGTCGATATACTTAAAACTCCAAACAGCCTCCATTCTAGGCTTCTTCATGTCACCTTCTCTAACCCTTAAGGTGCATGACAGGACCTGACATTACTCTGGCCCAGTATCTTCTGCAAGCTTCCCCACACCTTTTTTAGGGTGTGGGAGTGTTTGGTGGCCATAGTGACACTCTTGGCACAAAAGTGTGGCTTGCGGTGCAAGGAAAGTTCAGCTGAAATAGAGGTAAATAGAACCATAGTGGTTATTTCTGTCATAACTCTTTTCTGAAATCTCTCAGCTCAGATCTCTCTCCCGGACTGGGAGTCCTCTGGCTTGAGCTGTCCCATTTTCCCTCCCTTTCACACTACCCTTCTTTATCCAGACATATGAAGGAAAGAGACTGGATGGCTATTAAAATTGTTAACAACAATAGCCAAACTGTGGAAGGAGCCTCGGTGCCCATCGAAAGATGAATGGATAAAGAAGATGTGGTTTATGTATACAATGGAATATTACTCAGCCATTAGAAACGACAAATACCCACCATTTGCTTCAACGTGGATGGAACTGGAGGGTATTATGCTGAGTGAAGTTAAGTCAATCGGAGAAGGACAAACATTGTATGTTTTCGTTCATTTGGGGAATATAAATAATAGTGAAAGGGAATATAAGGGAAGGGAGAAGAAATGTGTGGGAAATATCAGAAAGGGAGACAGAACATAAAGACTCCTAACTCTGGGAAACGAACTAGGGGTGGTGGAAGGGGAGGAGGGAGGAGGGTGGGGGTGAGTGGGTGACAGGCACTGAGGGGTACACTTGACGGGATGAGCACTGGGTGTTATTCTGTATGTTGGTAAATTGAACACCAATAAAAAAATAAATTTATTATAAAAAATAAAATAAAATAAAATAAAATTATTAACAGTGTTACATGTTTCCATTTTCTTGGAGTAGAAAACAGCTCCACAGAAACATGACTTTAAAGGTCTGTGAAGCTCAAGTCTGTGATCTTAGCCACCATACCACACTGTCACATGGTATGTCTACTCTCCCCCCAAATTTGATCTCTTAGGAAACATAAAATAAATCTGTTTTTTCCATACCTCAATATATGGTATTGAAGAAAGCTGTTATGTTCTACCTGAATCTTTTCTGCTAAACATCTCCAGTAGGGCAATAAGATGTCCTTCCAAAACTCTAGATGAGGGGGTGCTCCTGGGTGGCTCAGTCGGTTAAGTGTCTGCCTTCTGTTCAGGTCATGATCCCAGGGTCCTGGGATTGAGCCCCATATTGGGCTCCCTGCTCAGTGGGGCATCTGTTCCTCTTCTCCACCTTTCCCCTGCTTGTGCTCTCTCTCTCTCTCTCTCTCTCTCTTTATCTCTCGCCTGCTCACCCACCCTCTCTTTCAAATTAATAAATAAACTCTTAAAAAAAAAGTCCAAAACTCTAGATGGGTTTTTCCTGTTGATGAAGACCAACAGTTGTCATGAAGGCAGTTCCACCACTTAGGCAGCATTTTAGAAATGTGTGGAGGGGAAAACTTCTGGTTATACAGTGCTACTGGCATATTGTGGGCAGGACTGAGGACACAAAGAAAGGTTTAGATCCCATTGGCGGGGGGGAAAGAACTGGAAGGGGACAGGTGGGCAAAAATTTTTATATAGGATTTTGGTTGATAAGCAGTGGAATAGGACCATGTGCCCCCTTCCCTGTCACCAGCCTAATAACTAGGGCCAACATTCTCTATCTCATTGATCCTGCCAAAGATGCAAGTTATCCAGGGAAGCCTTATACATTGAAGATTCTTTGCCTGACCCTCACAACCTCAAATACACAGATGTACATCCTAGATAGGTGGAACTTTGTTTATAATTATCAGAGTCTAGAATTCTGTTTTATATGTAATCATAGAGTCTTTTTAATATTTGCTAAATTTTCCAGGAATGCAGCCTCTTGTTAACTGAAGGATCATACTTTTATTTCATTCAGAACTTGACTTTGAGTCATTCAACATTTCAGAAAAATCATGTCACAAACAACAGTGCCCTGTGTGGTGTTTGTGTCCCCAAAATCAATCTACATTTTTAGCTCTCACTATGACAGTGATTCTATTGGGGGAGGTCCACACATCTGACCACTGTTCTCTTTCCTTTTTTTTTTTTTTAAGATTTTATTTATTTATTCATGAGAGAGAGAGAGAGAGGCAGAGACACAGGCAGAGGGAGAAGCAGGCTCCATGCAGGAAGCCCAATGTGGGACTCGATTCTGGGTCTCCAGGGTCAGGCCCTGGGCTGAAGGCAACGCTAAACTGCTGAGCCACCTGAGCTGCCCTGACCACTGTTTTCTAGTGCAGCTGTGCCCATGCATATACAAAATGAGCTTATTGACCTATTTAATTTACCACGAATATATATTATTTTATTATAAGCTAACTTTGATTATTGATTTCTCCCTTATTAGGTTAGATAAATGGTTTAGTCCATTTGGGCTACAATAACAAAATACCATAGACTGGGTAGCTTATAAACAACAGAAATTTATATCTTACAGTTCTGGAAGCTGGAAGTCTGAGATCAGGGCACCAGCACGGTTGAGTGAGGACTCTCTTCCAGATCGTTTGTAGTCCTCACATACAGAAGGGCCTAGGGACTTCTCTGGAGCTTCTTATATTTATAAGGGCACCATGTTTGTGACTGAAGCCCCATTACCTTAGACTTCAACAATTTGAAATTTGGAATGGGGGTGGAGAGAAGTGAGACACAAACATTCTGACTACAGGTTAGTAATTTATATTTTTTAGGCATAAGAGCTAGTAAATCATATTATATATGCCATTTCATTTCAGAGTAGCAAAAGAGATGTAATATTTTATATGCTTGCTTTCTATTGTTGCCATAACAAATTACCTAGTAGCTTAAAATAACATAAATTTATTATCTTACAGGTTGGTGGTCAAAAGCCAGAAATGGGGTTCACAGAGTTTAAATCAAGGTGTGATCGGGCTGTTCTTCTAGAGTTTCTAGGGGGAGAAGCTGTTCCCTTGTCTTTTCCAGTTTCTAGAGACCACCTGTATTTCTCGGCTCATGGCTTATCCCTCCATCTTCAAAGCCAGCAATATAGTATCTTCAAATATTTCTCTGACTCTGATCCTCTTGCTTCCATTGTTATATCTCCTTCTCTGTCTCTGGCCCCTGCCATTCTCTTACAAGGATTCTTGCAATTCCATTAGGCCCACCTGGACAATCCAAGATAATTTCCCTCTCTCAAGATCCTTAATCACATCTGTGAAGTTCCTTTTGTCATATAAAGTAACATATTCCCAGGTCTAGGGAGTAAGACCTGGACATCTTTGGGGGCCATATTCTATCTACCACACTAACATAATACTATTCTGATAGGGTTGACACTCACAGGTATAACTAAAGCATTAGGCCTGATGCTCCCTCTCTTTCTCTGACTTGGGGCATCTAGATTTCTTTCTTGACCTTGGCTGGGGTTGAACCTATTCCAGGGGAATAGTGTCTAGAGAACAACCTAATCCCTACCAGGCTGAGCCACTGGGTCCTGAGAGAAGACTGGTTGCTGCAAGGCCCTGAGTTGCCAGGCAGTGTGAGTCCAGGTATTCATTTGAAGCTAACTTAGATGGAAGCGCTCCTTTTTAATCTTTTTTTTTTTTTCCCCTTTGGGAGCATGTGATGTTTACTCTTTGGGGCACTCTCAAAACTTTTATTTATTTATTTATTTATTTATTTATTTATTTATTGTTGTTTTTAAAGATTGCTTGCTTTTTATTCTATTTTTTTTAATTGAAGAGTCGTTGACATGCAATGTTATATTAGTTTCAGGCATACGTTGTAGTGATTTGGCAACTCTATACATTATGCTCTGCTCACAAGTGTAGCTACCATCAGTTACCATACAATGCTATTACAATATCATTGACTATATTCCCTGTGCTATACCTTTCATCTCTGTGACATATTCATTCCACAATTGGAAGCTGTATCTCCTACTCCCCTTTTGCCCATTCCCCCACCCCTCTCCCCTCTGGCAGCCACCAGTGTGTTCTCTGTATTTGTGGGTCTCTGCTTTGTTTTGTTGTTTTGCTTTTTAGATTCCACATGTAGGTGAAATCATATGGTATTTGTCTTTTCAACTTTAGTAACAGCTGTCTGGCAATCAAGAAGAATAGCTTTTAGGGGCACCTGGCTAGCTCAGTCAGTAGAGCATGTGACTCTTGATCTCCAGGCTGTGAGTTTAAGCTCCACATTGGGTATAGAGTTTACTTAAAAGGAAAAAAGAAAAAGAACAGTGGCATTTAGGTCAATGGACATTTTAGAATTGCCCCTCCAATGCCCTCATTCCTGGGAAAGAGGAAAGACAGAGCATGTTGGTATTTTCCTGGCAGCAGACACATGTTTAAGGGAGACTTGATAAAAGGATAGAAGTGAGGCTTTTCATTGCCAAAGCTTGCCTCTTCTCCAAATAGAGCCTGCATCCAGCACACCTGAGTCATCAGGGAGCTCCCAGACCTTCATGCCCTGGGTGGGGGTGCTGTGGGAGCCCCAGGTAGTACTGAAGAAGAGAAATGCCCCTGGTAGCCTAAATAATAATGTTATGTATATGCCAAGGGCGTCAGTTTGGCATCTGCTGTATTCTGCAAACAGTCTGCCTGTGGGGGAGAGGGAAGGCGACAAGGGGCCCATCACACTTGAGAAAGTAGAAGCCTGACAGCTGAAGGTTCCCAGAGCAGCAAGCATCACCTCTTCTCTTGGACCATTTCAGCTGTCTGCTTTGGATTGACAGAGGCATCTGGCTGCTAAAAATACCGTACTGACCAAGTGCTCCCTATTCCAACTAAAGCTGAGCACAACTGCCATCCAGGACTGAGCTGCTTCTTGCAAAGGAACTTTTCAGTTTTCAGACCCAATCTGAGAGGCACACCAGCCCATGGTCATTTCCGCCTTGTCAGTTTTGCTAGGTGATGAATGAGACCCTTGTCAGATCACTGTCCTCTCTTCCGCCCCATTCCCACCTCCAGGAAATGTGGAAGAGGGGGAGGTGAGGGCCCAGCAGCTGAGGGGGGGTAGGGAAGGGGAGGTGCTTGTCCATTTATAGGCTTGCTCTTTGGGATGCTGAAGGTGCTGAAATAGCAAGGACAAGGGACTTGGCTCAGTGTGAAATATCCACTGAGCTGCCTGAGGGACTCTGAGATGACAATAGGGAGAATGGAGAACGTGGAGGTCTTCACTTCTGAGGGCAAGGGCAGAGGTCTGAAGGCCACTAAGGAGTTCTGGGCTGCGGATGTCATCTTTGCTGAGCGGGCTTATTCCGCAGTAGTTTTTGACAGGTATGAAATGTGGGGTGTTGTCACCTTTTCTGTTGGTGTGGCTCATGCCAAACTCTGAAATCCTTTGCTCTCAAAATCCTAAGCGAAAGGGATAGAATCCATGTGATCATTTTTAACAAAATGGCACTTCTGACAGCTGTTTTCTGGTATCTTTTTTTTTCTGCAAAGAGTCATTGTTAATGTGATTTACTCTGGTCCCTAGGAGGGTTGTAAAGATAAGCAAAGGCTTTGGGGCACTTTTTTCACAGTACATTGAATGTTGCATGTGGAATGTGGCTGAGTGGGTGTGCTGTGTGTGGGGAGGGCAGAGGGAAGGGGAATGGAAAGGTGGGTGTGGTCTATAGGAAACATTTTCTTACAGAAGGCTCCATGTTTTTAGCTTCTTGAGTATAATCAGTATATTAAAGCATAAAGTAATTGCTGAGACTTTAAAAAAGCAATTGCAAATACACAAGTAACACTGAAATCCATTTACATTTGAAAAATTAGAATATTACCAAGAGGCTGAAATCCCTTTTTATCTTTTCCTCTGCCAATCCCAATCTTCTCTGTCTTTCCTCAGAGGTAATAGGTGTTATGATTTTAATGTGTTTACTTCTAGAATGTTCTTGCACTATTATATACATATATCACAATGTATAGCTGTAGTTTGTCTTTTTTTTCTTAACAGAAGTGGCATCATACTTGAGATGTCTTTCTAGAACTTGCTCTTTTCACTAAACATGTTTTTGATATGTATCCTTATGAGAACTATAAGTCTACAGATAATTCTTTTAAATCCTCAAAGATCTACTTCTTTTACCCACATGTAGATCTATGTTGATCAATATGCTATGTGGATTGCATAGCATCCAATATTTTAACTCCTGTAGATATTCTACCCAATAAATACATGAAAAATTATTTATCCACTTCCCTATTGAGAGACATTCGGTGGTTTCCAGCTTTTCATTAAAACAAACATTTCTGCAGTTATATCCTTGACAATGTCTACTTGTACACATGTGTGATTATTCTCCAGGACATAAGGCTAGAAGAGGAATTGTGTCATAGAGTGTGCTGTTTGTATTTTAATAGGCTCTCCAGAGTGGCTCTGTTAAATTTATATTCCCAAATAACAACCATATGCCCAAAGTTTTAAATTAGTGTTGAAGCTTTATTTTAAAAAAGCAAACAAAACAAAACACCTTGCCAAGTGATTAAATTGTAAGAATATTTTCTGAGCCCAAAGTTGGGGTGACCTGCCTGACATTGATGTGATCTGAATCAAGATGGCCTCTGGTAATCTAGGCTTTGTGCTTGGCTCACTGTACTCACCATCCTGAGAATGGGCACTGCTTTCCAAGGATAATTTGATTAGCATTCAGATTTTCGTTTCTTCCTGCCTACCAGGATCTTCAGGGAGAAGATAGTGAACGGAATATATGGCTGACGGTCACCTGAGGAATGTTAAGGGGGCTGAGGTGACAGTAATACCTCTTCAACGGGAGTTTGTCTTACTTTATTAGTTTATTTGTGTATGTTTTGTGGCTGGAGGTGAGTGCAGTTAAGGAGTCAGTGGGATTCAGAATTAAGACTAAAAAGCTAGAAAACAAAACCTCTGATCAATGATCTTGGTGCTGTCACTGAGTTGCCACATTGCCTTATGTGTAGAATACTTCCTTTGGTGTCTCTAGTTTCCTAAAAGTCGATATAGTCAATTAGTATCTCTTTTAAGAGTGTTTGGAGTTGAGTGGGTTTTCCTTCCATTTTAAAAGTAAAACTAAAAAAATAAATAAATAAATAAAATAAAAGTAAAACTAAGGAAGAAAAAAAAATATATTTTCACACAAAGGTACTAACCCTAAACGTTGTTGTGTATTTCCTTCCGGCTTATTTTAAAACCTAGGTTTCATTTGTACTACACAGTTGGGATTTTATTACAGAAACTATGATGTTTTACATTTAATAATTTAGCTACTTCTTTGTTACTATGTCCTCTTCATAAACATAGTATTTAATGGCTGCCTGCTTTCCTACCACTTCTTTATGACTGAATATTTGGGATGTTTATGTTTTTCTTACTGTAAGTAAATCATTCATTTGAAGGAATGATTACAAAACAAATTTAGTATACGTTGCAGATAAAATGCTAACAAAGTGTTGTATAATTATTATTATTATTATTATAAAAATTGGGGTGATTTTAAATTGATTGAAAAAAATAAAAAAGAGATACTTTTAAAAAGTGATTTTTCCCAAGTTTGTCATTGCAAAGATGAGGGGGCTACTCTTTGGGTATACCTGGGATAGCCTAAAGAGGCAGCAAAGGAAACCTTTGCCCATCGGGTCCTTCCATTTTGCCACTTCATGAGACACAGCCACTGTAGATAAGAAACCTGAGTGGGGAGGTAGGATTGAGTCACTCACAAAAGAGGCACATTCTAATCCATGTTATTGCAAGCCAGGCTTTCTGCCCTACCCTCCAAACACAAACATGAGGAAAGATTTTATTTTTAGTTGAGCACTGCATTAAGTGAAAATTCTTTCCAACAATATATGACATATATTGTATACATGAATGTTATGAAGCATAACAATAAACGAACACCCATGAAACTATTCCATGAAACCTATTTAACTAGAGTGTGCAATTACATTGCATCTTCTCTATCTTTCCCTATTCAGTCCCGGGTTTGTTCCAAAGGTAACTGGTATCCTGAATTTTATGTTATTATTCCCCTGCCTTTTGAGTAATATGTGTACATATTCCTGAACAACATATAATTTAGTTTTTGTGTTTTCTTTTTGATCTTTGAAACAAAGGTATAATATATTTGACTTTATGCCACTTGCTTTTTTTACTCAGTGTTAAATATTCATGCATATGGTTTTGTGTAACTAATAAAATGAATCAACTGTGTCAGTTTGTATGTACCACAGTTTATTTTTCCATTCTTCTGTCTGTGGTTGCAGTAGACATTTTTGTTTTTATTTCTTGGTGGACAGATACATGAGGTATGTATCCTAGGAATGGAATTACTGGATCACAATGTATGTGACATGTAGCTTTAAAATATAATGCTGTAGTGTGTAATGTTGACTTGCAAATTTGCATTGTCTTTGTTAGGATAGACTTAGTTTAGCATTAACAGCAACAATCTAGGCCTTTATAATCTAGTCCTTTAAAAATATTTTATTTATTTATTCATGAGAGACACAGAAAGAGAGGCAGAGACACAGGCAGAAGGAGAAGCAGGCTCCTCGAAGGGAGCCTGATGTGGGACTTGATCTCAAGACCCCGGGGTTCACACCTTAAGCTGAAGGCAGATGGTCAGCCACTGAGCCACCCAGGCATCCCTGTAATATAGCCCTTAGTCTGATTACAACCTCTTGAATTTTGCTGATTGGAAAATTGTGACTTTTTTTGATCCTTAAAGATAAAGGAGCAAGAGTACAGAGAATCATTTTAGGTTGGGCAAATATGTAACAGTACCTCAATCCCTGCCAGTTATAGCTAATCAATTGGGTAACTCCTTCCTGAACTCCAAATTAGCCTAAGGATTTTTTTCCTAAAAACTGGTATTTAAAAGAACAGGTATTTGCTATCACTTATGGGGTTTTTGGTCGGGCTGGAAAGGGATGAAGGTGAAGCAGGTGGATAAGGTCAATTTACCAAGGAGCTATCTTTCATGGGCATGATCTTTTCAAGTGGATCAGCCCTAAGGATGGTAAATGAACTCTTAAAAATTGCTTGCTACCCTTCATGCTCTTTACTCTGAGTGTGCCCAGAGAATATGAGCCCATGATACCTTAACTTGAGTAATCCTGCTTATTTCTACATGAAGTGGGGTTAATCTGGGAATTCATGATATTGTCTTGTTCAAATTTTTTAGCTTATTTTAGAAAATGTAGAAACTATAGAAAAACCAAAGTAAGAAAATAAAAATTCTCTGCAACCTTAACATTCAGAGAAAACTACTGTTAACATACTGGCATATGTCCTTATGATTGTTCTGTTTTTGGAGTATAATTGACTCCTTACAATTGTTTTATGCAAATATGATGCATATAAAATATTTTTCCAATGATTTGTAGGTATGGTGATGGTAGTGGGAGAAACACTCTCCCTAAATGCTTCCCTAAAATTAAGATATTTTATTAAAATATGGGGAGGATGGGAGTTTATTTTACAATGAAAGGAATATGACACAATATAGTATTTTATTAATTTTAGGATACATATTTCATTTTAGACATCTCTGAAATCATGATGTATTGTACAATCTGTGGCTCATGGTTTAATTGGGAGAATTTGTTTTTTAATGGTTAAAAAATGATATATTTAGTATATTACATAGGTTCAATTTAATTAATATATACATTTCTTCCTTTCACAAAAGTGGGCTGTTGTGTAACTTCTTTACCTTACAATATATTATGAGCCACTTTTCAAACCATTATCCTTTTTTTTTCAAACCATTATCCTTCTAAAGCATTTTTAATGACTATATAGTACTCTTTTTGTTGACTGTTATACATCAGTTTAACAAGTGCCATATTTTGAATATCAAGGTTGTTTCCTGTTCAGAACTTCTAAACTGTTTGAATCCTTCTGCATAATTTTGATTTATTAGCTCTTATGATTTTAACTCTTTTCTAATCCTCAGTTGCTTTTAATTGATTAATTAATTAATTAATTAATTAATTCACTTATCAAGTAGGCTCCATACCTCACATGAAGCTCAATGTGGGGCTTGAATTCACAACCCTGAGATCAAGACCTAAGCTAAGATCAAGAGTTGGATACTTAACCAGCTGAACCACCCAGGCACCCCTTGTCCTCAGTTACTTTTGACTTTCTATAATTTTTCATATCTTGCATTTTAAAAACTATTCATTTTTCTCTTACATATATCTTTTAAAATTATATCCAAACTTAAGTTTCTTTTTTAATTTTTATTTTAGTTACTTATTGTCATTGCATTCCTTCACTTTCCTTTTTATAGTTTATTTAGTTC